CCCTTCATCTCGAGCACGGCGTGCTCGGGCACGTCCTTGCCCTCCCCGGCCCTGCAGCTCCCAGTCCCCAAGAACCCCCAAAATTCCCATTTTTTCCACCTAAAATTCACAAGTTTTCAACAAATTTCCCCAAAATTCCCATTTTCCCCCCATTCCTGTCCTCCCAAACTTCCCAAAATCCCCAAATTTCTCCTTTTCCTGCATCCCAATCCTTCCAACACCTGGAAAAATCCCATTTTTACCCCATTATTCCCCCATTTTTTCACCTAAAATCCCCATTTTCCCCCAAATTTCCCATTTTTCCCCATTCCTGCCCTCCCAAACTTCCCAAAATTCCCAAATTTCTCCTTTTCCTGCATCCCAACCCTTCCAACACCCGGAAAAATCCCTAAAAATTCCCATTTTTTTTGCATTTTTGCCTCATTTTTCACCTAAAATCCCCGTTTTTTCACCGTTTTTCCCCATTTTTTCACCGTTTTTCCCCATTTTTTCCCCTAAAATCCCATTTTTTTTCCCCATTTTTTCCCAAAATCCCGTTTTTTGCCCCCAAAGCTCGCTCCCTTCATCTCGAGCACGGCGTGCTCGGGCACGTCCTTGCCCTCCCCGGCCCTGCAGCTCCCAGTCCCCCAAGAACCCCCAAAACTCCCTTTTTTCCACCAAAATTCCCCAAAATTAGTGTTTTTTCAACAAATTTCCCCAAAATTTACCATTTTTCCCCCCATTCCTGCCCTCCCAAACTTCCCAAAATTCCCAAATTTCTCTTTTTCCTGCATCCCAACCCTTCCAACACCCGGAAAAATTCCCAAAATTCCCAAATTTCTCCTTTTCCTGCATCCCAACTCTTCCAACACCCGGAAAAATCCCTAAAAAATTTGATTTTTTTCACATTTTGGCCCCGTTTTTCGCCGTTTTTTCACCGTTTTTTACCGTTTTTTCACCGTTTTTCCCCGTTTTTTCCCCATTTTTCCCAAAATCCCGTTTTTTTCCCCCAAGCTCGCACCCTTCATCTCGAGCACGGCGTGCTCGGGCACGTCCTTGCCCTCCTCGTCGGTGCGCTTCACCGTGCGCTGCCGCAGCTCCTGGTCCGTGGGGCACACCACGATGGCCTTGCGCTGGAAACCCGCGAAGGGACGCATCTTCCTGCGCTGCGCCGAGCCGTACACGTTGGTCTGGGGGGAGAAATGGAGAATTCGGGAAAGTTTGGGTTAAAAAAGGGGAAATTCGGGAAAAACGGGGAAAAAATCGGATTTTTTTAGCGATTTTTTAGTGGTTTTTGGAGTCAGTTTCCCTGAACAAGAAGGATTTGGGGAGGGAATCTTCTGGTTTTTTAGTGGTTTTTGGAGTCAGTTTCCCTGAACAAGAAGGACTTGGGGAGGGAATCTTCTGGTGCTGGGCTGAGCCGTACACGTTGGTCTGGGGAGAAAAATTCAGAATTTGGGAAAGTTTGGGTTAAAAAAGGGGAAATTCGGGAAAAAACGGGGAAAAAATTGGATTTTTTAGCAATTTTTGGGGGATTTTTGGAGTCAGTTTCCCTGAAAAATGAGGATTTGGGGAGGGAATCTTCCTGTGCTGGGCTGAGGCATTGATGGTCTGGGGAGAAAAACCGGGAGATTGGGAAAGTTTGGGTTAAAAAAGGGGAAATTCGGGAAAAACAGGGAAAAAAAATCGGATTTTTTTGCGATTTTTGGGGGTTTTTGGAGTCAGTTTCCCTGAAAAAGGAGGATTTGAGGAGGGAAAGGAGGATCTGGGGAGGTCACATCTTCCTGTGCTGGGCTGAGCTATTGATGGTCTGGGGAGAAAAATGGGAAATTTGGGAAAGTTTGGGTTAAAAAAGGGGAAATTCGGGAAAAAACAGGGAAACAATTGGATTTTTTAACGATTTTTTAGGGGGTTTTGGGGTCTGTTTCTCTGAAAAAGGAGGACGCATCTTCCTGCGCTGCACCGAGCCGTACACGTTGGTCTGGGGAGAAAAATTCAGAATTTGGGAACGTTTGGGTTAAAAAAGGGGAATTTGGGTTAAAAAAGGGGAAATTCGGGAAAAAACGGGGAAAAAATTGGATTTTTTAGCAATTTTTGGGGGATTTTTGGAGTCAGTTTCCCTGAAAAATGAGGATTTGGGGAGGGAATCTTCCTGTGCTGGGCTGAGGCATTGATGGTCTGGGGAGAAAAACCGGGAGATTGGGAAAGTTTGGGTTAAAAAAGGGGAAATTCGGGAAAAACAGGGAAAAAAAATCTGATTTTTTTGCGATTTTTGGGGGTTTTTGGAGTCAGTTTCCCTGAAAAAGGAGGATTTGAGGAGGGAAAGGAGGATCTGGGGAGGTCACATCTTCCTGTGCTGGGCTGAGCCGTACACGTTGGTCTGGGGAGAAAAATGGAGATTTTGGGAAAGTTTGGGTTAAAAAACGGGAAATTTGGGAAAAAATGGGGAAAAAATCGGATTTTTTAGCGATTTTTTAGGGGTTTTTTTGGTTGCGTTCACTCAAAATAGGGACACATCTTCCTGAAAATGGGAAATTTGGGAAAGTTTGGGTTAAAAAAGTGAAAATTCAGGAAAAAATCGGGTTTTTTAGCGATTTTTTAGGGGTTTTTGGAGTCAGTTTCCCTGAAAAAGGAGGATGGATCTTCCTGTGCTGAGCTGTTCACGTTGGTCTGGGGGCAAAAACCACAAAAATGGGAAAATTTGGGTCAAAAATGGGAAAATTTGGGAAAAAACGGGGAAAAAATCGGATTTTTCAGCGGTTTTTTTAGGGGTTTTTGGGGTCATTTTCTCCGAAAAAGGAGGATTTGAGGAGGGAAAGGAGGATCCGAGAAACCAGGAAATTGGGAAAGTTTGGGTTAAAAAACGGGAAATTCAGGAAAAACGGGGAAAAAATCGGGTTTTTTAGGGGTTTTTTAGTGGTTTTTGGGGTCAGTTTCCCTGAAAAAGGAGGATTTGAGGAGGGAAAGGAGGATCTGGGGAGGTCACATCTTCCTGCGCTGGGCTGAGCCGTACACGTTGGTCTGGGGAGAGAAATTCAGAATTTGGGAAAGTTTGGGTTAAAAAAAGCACAATTTGGGAAAAAACGGGGAAAAAATCAGATTTTTTAGTGATTTTTTTAGGGGGTTTTTTGGTTGCGTTCACTCAAAATAGGGACACATCTTCCTGCGCTGCGCCGAGCCGTACACGTTGGTCTGGGGGGAAAAATGGAGATTTTGGGAAAGTTTGGGTTAAAAAAAGCAAAAATGGGGGAAAAAACCGGGGAAAAATCGGATTTTTTAGCGATTTTTGGGGAATTTTTGGAGTCAGTTTCCCTGAAAAGGGAGGATTTGAGGAGGGAAAGGAAGATCTGGGGAGGTCACATCTTCCTGCGCTGGGCTGAGCTGTACACGTTGGTCTGGGGAGAAAAATGGAGAATTTGGGAAAGTTTGGGTTAAAAAAGGGGAAATTTGGGAAAAAAACGGGGAAAAATCGGATTTTTTTGCGATTTTTTAGGGGTTTTTGGACTCAGTTTCCCTGAAAAAGGAGGATTTGGGGAGGAAATCTTCTGGTGCTGGGCTGAGGCATTGATGGTCTGGGGAGAAAAATGGGAAATTTGGGAAAGTTTGGGTTAAAAAAAGCAAAAATGGGGAAAAAAACGGGGAAAAAATCGGGTTTTTTAGCGATTTTTTGGGGGTTTTTGGGGTCACTTTTCCTGAAAAAGGAGAATTTGAGGAGGGAGTCTTCTGGTGCTGGGCTGAGGCATTGATGGTCTGGGGAGAAAAATGGGAAATTTGGGAAAGTTTGGGTGAAAAAAGTGAAAAAATGGGAAAAAACGGGGAAAATGGGAAAAAATTGGATTTTTTAGTGATTTTTTAAGTCAGTTTCCCTGAAAATGGAGATTTGGGGAGGGCAAGGAGGATCTCAGGATGCATTTTCCATCAGAGATGTTGGTTTGGGGAGAAAAACAGGAAATTTGGGAAAATTGGGAAAAAATCGGGTTTTTTAGTGATTTTTTAGGGGTTTTTGGAGTCAGTTTCCCTGAACAAGGAGGATTTGGGGAGGGAATCTTCTGGTGCTGGGCTGAGCCATTGATGGTCTGGGGAGAAAAATGGAGAATTTGGGAAAGTTTGGGTTAAAAAAGTGAAAATTTGGGAAAAAACGGGGAAAATGGGAAAAAATTGGATTTTTTAGTGATTTTTTAAGTCAGTTTCCCTGAAAATGGAGATTTGGGGAGGGCAAGGAGGATCTGGGGATGCATTTTCCATCAGAGATGTTGGTTTGGGGAGAAAAACAGGAAATTTGGGAAAATTTGGGTGAAAAAGGGGGAAAAATGGAAAAAATGGGGGAAAATGGGAAAAAAATTGGATTTTTTAGTGATTTTTTAAGTCAGTTTCCCTGAAAATGGAGATTTGGGGAGGGCAAGGAGGATCTCAGGATGCATTTTCCATCAGAGATGTTGGTTTGGGGAGAAAACCAGGAAATTTGGGAAAATTTGGGTGAAAAGAGGGAAAAAATGGGAAAAAGGGGAAAAATGGAAAAAAAATTGGATTTTTTAGTGATTTTTTAAGTCAGTTTTCCTGAAAATGGAGATTTGGGGATGCATTTTCCATCAGAGATGTTGGTTTGGGGAGAAAAACAGGAAATTTGGGAAAATTTGGGTGAAAAAGGGGAAAAATGGGGAAAAATGGGATTTTTTAGTGATTTTTGGGGGATTTTGGAGTCTTTCCCTGAAAAAGAATTTGGGGAGGGAAAGGAGGGTCTGGGCTGCATCTCCTGGCACTCGGGCAGAGCCATTGATGGGCTGGGGAGAAAAACACAGAAATTGGGAAAATTTGGGTCAAAAAAGGGGGAAATTGGGAAAAAATGGGAAAAAACAGGGAAAAAACGGGGAAAAACTGGGGAAAAACGGGATTTGGAGGGGATTTTGGAGGCAGCTTTCTTGGAAAAGGAGATTTGGGGAGCGGCACACGCCGGGCTGGGGGAAAAAACCCCAAAATCGGGAAAATTTGGGTTAAAAGCAGCCAAAAATGGGAAAATCCTGGATTTTGTAGTGAATTTTGGGAGTTTTTCAGCGCGTCTGCCTGAAAAGGTGGCAATGGCCACAGGGAGGTGACAATGGCCACAGGGAGGTGCCCTGGTGTCACCTGGCCCAGGGAGGTGGCAGGGAGGTGACAGTGTCCCCAGGGAGGTGACAGTGTCCTCAGTGATGTCCCTGTGAGGTCACCTGCTCCAGGATGGGGACAGTGTCCCCAGGGAGGTGACAGTGTCCCCACGGTGTCACCTGGCCCAGGGAGATGGCAGTGAGGTGTCAGTGTCCCCAGTGATGTCCCTGTGAGGTCACCTGCTCCAGGATGGGGACAGTGTCCCCGGGAGGTGGCAGTATCCCCAGGATGGTGTCAGTGTCCCAGGGAGGTGGCAGTGTCCCCGGGAGGTGGCAGTGTCCCCGGGAGGTGGCAGTGTCCCGGAGTCCCTGGGAGGTGGCAGTGTCCCCGGATGGTGTCAGTGTCTAGGGAGGTGGCAATGGCCTCAGGGAGGGGACAGTGGCCACAGGGAGGGGACAGTGGCCACAGGGAGGTGACAATGGCCACAGGGAGGGGACAGTGGCCCCAGGGAGGTGACAATGGCCACAGGGAGGTGGCAATGGCCTCAGGGAGGGGACAGTGGCCTCAGGGAGGGGACAGTGGCCACAGGGAGGTGACAATGGCCTCAGGGAGGTCCCCTGGTGTCACCTGGCCCAGGGAGGTGACAGTGAGGTGACAGGGAGGGGACAGGGAGGGGACAGTGGCCATAGGGAGGTGACAATGGCCGCAGGGAGGTGCCCTGGTGTCACCTGGCCCAGGGAGGTGGCAGGGAGGTGACAGTGTCCCCAGTGATGTCCCTGTGAGGTCACCTGGTCCAGGATGGGAACAGTGTCCCCAGGGAGGTGGCAGTGTCCCCGGGAGGTGGCAGTGTCCTGGTGTCCCCAGGGAGGGTCAGTGTCCCAGGGAGGTGGCAGTGTCCCCGGTGTCCCCAGGGAGGTGGCAGTGTCCCCGGGAGGTGGCAGTGTCCCCGGTGTCACCTGGTCCAGGATGGGGACAGTGTGCTCAGTGACCCAGGGAGGTGGCAGTAGTGTCCCCGGTGTCCCCGGGAGGTGTCAGTGTCCCAGGGAGGTGGCAGTGTCCCCGGTGTCCCCAGGGAGGTGGCAGTGTCCCCAGTGTCGCCGGTGTCACCTGGTCCAGGATGGTGTCAGTGTCCCCGGGAGGTGTCAGTGTCCCCGGGAGGTGTCAGCGTCCCCGGGAGGTGTCAGTATCCCCGGTGTCCCCAGGGAGGTGGCAGTGTCCCCAGTGTCGCCGGTGTCACCTGGTCCAGGATGGTGTCAGTGTCCCCGGGAGGTGTCAGTGTCCCAGGGAGGTGGCAGTGTCCCCGGGATGGTGGCGTGTCCCCGGGAGGTGGCAGTGTCCCGGAGTCCCTGGGAGGTGGCAGTGTCCCCGGATGGTGTCAGTGTCCCCGGGAGGTGGCAGTGTCCCCGGTGTCACCTGGTCCAGGATGGGGACAGTGTGCTCAGTGAGGTGTCAGTGAGGTGTCAGTGTCCCCGGTGTCCCCGGGAGGTGTCAGTGTCCCCGGGAGGTGTCAGCGTCCCCGGGAGGTGTCAGTATCCCCGGTGTCCCCAGGGAGGTGGCAGTGTCCCGGTGTCCCCGCTGTCACCTGGTCCAGGATGTAGTTGCGGCGTTTCCTGGCTGCGATCTGGATCAGGCGGTTCAGGCACTGCGTGGCCTGCTGGATCAGCACGTCCCAGCGCCCCGCGTAGTTCCGCTGCCTGCGGAGCCCCATCACCTGGGGACACGGGTGACACTGTCACTGTCACAGCCTGGGTCACCTGTCACACCCTGTGTCACCTG